AATGATAGACTTCAGATACGCGAAAAGCCACCAGGCTCCCTTCGTCGAAGCATGCGTTTGAAGTAACGAATTGTGAAGCGGGCGTTGCTGCCATGGTGGCACGAAAAGGGGAGATGGAGAGAAACGTCGATGGTCAATAGAGCTGCACTCAACCGTCAACATACTTCATCTCGGTATCTTCCTCGATCCTGCAGCGATGCGTGCACTCTAAATCCCCAAGTGTGTAGCCTTACGTCCGTAAGTAGCCGGAATAGCGTTCTAGGCAGATCCTCTGTGCTACTCCAGCCGTCATTGCTTTGTGTAACAGTCATCGAAGTCAAGCCCTCAAAAGTCCCCCGAGTTTGATCACCGATGCTGGCCGCTTCCAGCGATTCATGCCAGGATGACCTCTAGGGTTTCGCCAAATTGAAACGTCTCGATCACGTCTTTGCTGCAGACACATTTTAATATACTCAGGTTATATCCGAGCATGATAACCAGACAGCTAGATCGATATCCGGTCCATATTCAGGGGTACCGTTAAGCTTGTAAGACTTCGGGTCTGAGTGTAACGATCTCTCACAAGACCTACGAGAGCTCATTGAAGGCAAAGAAGACGCATTGATTGAAGGAGGAATCAAACCGCATTGAAGTTTTGTCCTCCTGTGGCCGGTTATAGAAAATATAAGCTCTCAATGACTTCCTGCAGATGTCCCCATGAACGCCATAGATGAGCCAACATTTCGAGTATACTATCCACCAACCCAACCAAACCCGGCATCCAATATCGACATCATTACTTATCAAACGTTTCGCCAGACATCTAGACGTGTCTAAGCTTCAGCCATAATTTGCAAAGCAATGAGTTTTCGATTAGGAAGCAGTCGAGCCGTCCTCACGGCGATATCGCAACGAACCCGGAATCTGGGAAGGTGAATCGTTCTGATCATGCTGCCTCCCTTCCGAAACAAAAATGCAGATCGCCGTAGCTCAAACATATCGTGTACTGAGTTCCCCTCCTGTTCTTTGGCCCGACACCTTGGCATATATACGACGGCTAATGAACCGTTCCAATGTTTAATTTAAACAGAAGTCGGGGAGAATTCACGGAACTCTTGTTCTCTATGTTCTAGGGGTCTTGAGACCGTGAATAAAGAGGCTGCAGTTTCTCTAGTTGCAGGCTTCGAAGTAGCCCAACCCCACAGCCAAATCCAGTATTCCACAAAATCATGAATTCATACACCTTAGTTTGACTTCACTTTCCGATGCACTCTCTATACTCGTTATTAGTTCGTGAAGATGTTATTTCCAGCCCCGTTAGGATAACAAGGTAGCACAAGCAGTCAAGTGTACTGCAGGAGTGCACTGTCCAAATCCCTGAACAGCATTCTGCACTGTAGTCCTCATGTGAACCAGTGAGGTAATGCACGCAAGCTCGCGGCGGCAAGTATCCAGGGTATAGTAGTCTTTCCAGGCGTACTCCAAATCTCACGAATTCAATAAGCTGCCATATGCCGAAAAGAGGAAGGCTCTCGATCTGCAATAAAGACGAGTCTGATCAATATGCATTGTGATTCATGGGTATCTCTGTTTGTGATTTAGGAGAGATTGGGCACTATAGTATCGATCACACGTACCGTTACGCGAAGATCACTGGATGTTGCCTAAACATCATCTGTACCTTTTGAGTCCATTGGGCACTCGCGACACATGATACTCTAAGTCATCCCAACTACAATGGACTGTTCTGATCATTCTTCCGATACATCAATGACGCTGTTTTCCATTGCCCCGAAAATCAGAACAATCAATCCCTCCCATTTACTTGTGAAAGCTCCTCGTGTTCGATCTTGCGCTAATTCTCGCTTCGTTGTTAATGCTATTGGCCATGAATGCGGACCTGTGCTGCCTGTTCTGAACAAGGGATGATGCGCTCGATACACCGCTGACCATCTGGCATTCCAAAGTGGCTTGCATGGTGTCTTGCCCAGTTTTCGTCTAAGCAATTTGTACTCCCATAATCTATTTCTTAGGCGAGAAGCTGGCTGGGCGCTTGCACCTGTAGGGTTGGCGATCCCATTCAGACTGTTTCACTATGTCGTAGTGCCGCTGTGGCATTCTGTTCTGAGTCGACCGTTTTTCTTCGCAAGAAGGGGGCGGGTCAGCCGGCCTGTTGCAGGAGTGAACGTGTCCTGCAACCCGAACGAATGTAGTTCTAGCACGACAGCTCGCCGACCTACTGACAAGTTGCGGTCTAGTAAATTTCGTGATTTTTACTTACGTTGAGGTCCGGCCTGCTTCTTCCAGGCCAGTGTCATCTCTTTCACTATGGCATGTCTCAGGAACGTGATAGATATGCTGCATTTCCCAACTCAGGTCAAGAGCAAAGAACTTTATTCTTACAGACATTCGGTTTGCACGTTCATTCACTTCGAATCCTCGGTTCTGAGTTACAAAGTATTTCGACCGGTGAATCATATAGTATCCATGAGGTAATATGTCGGAGCGAAGGCATGGGGCACACACCGAATAGCCTCGTACAAACAGTCCTCTCTACTGTCAAGCAAATATAGCGTCAGCCCTTGCTAGTAGGCAAATTCGTTCCCTTAATGTAGATGATCTGAAATACTGAGTCTAGATTTAGTTGTTTCCTACCTTGTTTGGCCCCTCCACTACGTATCATTCCGAAGGACTTTTCTATTCTAGACAATTTCCCATCGTTCTAGGAAATTGATTCCATTATGTGAATGTCAGGACTCCATTGTTGCAGGAAAACCCTTCCCCTGTCACGCCATCCACGCCAGTGCACTCTCCCTGAGCCATAGTTCCGTTCTGTGACAATCATTAACTTGTCCTTACGATATGCTAAGAATGCCTGTGCTTACCGCCGTTCTTAATTGAATATTGGAGAAGACAACGTCTCGACAATGATCTGCGTCTTCACATAGCAAATAGGTTCCCTTTTCTGGAGATTCGCCTGGGCGTTCGTTAGTCTCAATTGAGATAATAAGAAAACCGGCGAACCAACCTTCCGTATGATACCAGCACGGGTCAGAGACACAACTTCCATCGCCAATAGTTGCCGCTATGTCTCCATATATGTTTTCCCAGGTAAAGTTCTTTGTATAGGCATATAGCTCATCGTCTGATGGGATTCCGCCGGCTTCAGGGTCTACATAGTCCTCGATGAAGTGGATCGGGTAGCTGACATTATGCATTGTTATGTTACGCCAGTGCACATCGGTCAAGTTGCAGCTTTTGCCACCTTTACCCTTGAAACGACAACCAATCAGGCTGTCATACACGACAGAATCCTCGAACGTGTAATTCCCACCGGAACCGCTTGTACAGCTGACCGACAGGCCATGCGTGCCATGAGCCTCTACGTTTCTTACAGTTACATTGAAGGACGGGGGCGATACTACAATAGCGTCATCGCCATTGTAGAGAGTAAACCCGGAAATGAGGACATTACTGCCCGACAAGTCCACTCCATCTGAATCAATATCAGTTAGACAGACCTATTATCAAGGTGCTGAGTGTAGTCGAACCTGTATTGAAAGGAAACCCAACATCTGACCGCGCATCGATCAATGTATTTGTCATGGTGACTCCATTTCCGCTGATTCCGAAGGTCCAAGCTATCGGTTTGAGAATCTTCATGTCTCTGATGATCATATTGCTGGCATACAAACCGAAGAACTTTGGACGGTTCACTTGATTATTGGTGACCCACCACAAATCTCCATGGCCTATGCATCGTTTTAGCATGGTTTGAATGGGAGTTATCAAGGACTTTAAAGGATGTCTTACAGATGAACCAGCCTCCATCCGCCTTCTGGCTACCAGTGAATGTGATTTGGTCACCTCGAATCTGTATCCATTGACCTGGGAATATCCTCGAATTCCGCACAACGCTCTGAATGTCTGTGACATTTGTGCTCAGTGTCAGATTCCCTTTGAAGACAAACTCAATATTGTTAATATTTGCCAGTTTCCACGGCGTGAAAAGATTATAGGTCACACCCTCTTCGAAAACAACCCTGGAATTATTGCCACAGTCATTAATGGCTTCGAGGATGCCAGGAGAGTCGTCACCCCCTACGACTGTCTGGTTCTTCGGCATGACACACGTCTTCACGCACAGTCTTGCCTGAACAGCCGGGATTAGCAAGACCAACATGCTGGCCATGCGCAATCCAATCAGAAGCGTAAACTTCATATTAGGTTTAGGTCCTCAGTTCTCTACAGCTCGGGTACCCCTAGTCAACAACTTTCTCCCAGTGAATGCCCACGGACTGCTGCTTGACTTAGTGGTGGGATGTATTGGTCAAAGTTTTTAATGCTTCCATCGTCATTGACTTGTTCGTCATTTCGTGAGAAGTCAATGGTCAAGTTGGCTTTATGGCGATGGCTCGGCATAATGATGAGGCAAGCTAGACTAAGAACGTTCAGCGTCGAAGCTATGGTAGCAGTTCAAATGAAGGATGTGCGGGGAGACGCGCTGAGCCGCAACAGAATTTCCACGAAACAAATTACTCACATCAGCGACCCCTGTCTGGTAGCCAAAAGGGATGTGGCCTCTACATGTAGTGTTAAAAAGCTTGACCTGACTCCAGCAAATTCAAAGGCAAAGATGAGGCTTGGTGCAGTTTTCTGATCTGTCTGGTTGAGGGCTCTCGTTGGAGGTAGGAAATAGTTGACTATTTTATCAAAGGAAATGACAACGATGGCCACCTGGTTGTTATCTAGGACAAGCTCAGATAAACCAAATGTCATAGGAGCCAATTCACCGATCAAACCCATGCACGTCCATCACAGTTTTCGCATATGCCCAACTGTACACTGGAAATATTATCTTGATATTGATGTCAAGCTCAAACATATCCTTTGGCTATATAACTTTCCTCTGTCACTCAAGCGGCGGCGAGCGAAATCGAAGGTTTTAACTCTAGACTTTTCACAAGGGTATCGATGCTTCCGCCTTCTGCTTTTGTTTCTATTTGCTATCAGTGGCTTAATCACCTCAGTCCTTCTAGTAAATCCTTCAACGAATTCCACTCTGGTGTGCCCTCCCAACTTTCCTTGCCTTTCCCCATGACACTTCTGATGGCGCTTCTTGCTTTGCTCTTCCACTTCGCTCCAATGCCATCGGCTTCTGGGCCCCAATTTTCTAAAACAGACACCAACTCATCTGTGCGTTTTACAACAACCTCCCAGGCATCCTGATTCTCAAGCCAGTTTCTGCTGGCATCGTTTGTAGTTGCTGCCAAAGTCGAACCCAATGAGCCGGTTGACGCTCCGCCAACAGCAGCTCGCCAGGCTTTCTCCGAGGCCTCCACAGCACCTGCATAATCGCGCCGCCAGACACGCAGGCGACTGAGCAGCTCCCAAAGTTCGGAGCGGGTTGTAATGAGTGGTACTACCTGCTGCTCTAGAAGATCATTCACGGCTCTTTCTTGAGATCCCCGAGGTGGTTCATAAATGCCGTTGGACTCATCTCCTGTCTTTGATTGCGAAAGTACAACCTCGTTGAGCAGCAACCTCAAAATTTCGTCGTCAAGGGCATCCTCGGATTGTCGAACGCGGACAATGTGGCGTAGCGCCTGGATAATTTCAATCACCGCAATAGGACGAACTCTTGTAGCCAGCGTGAGGACATTGTCCCATATGCGCCAATTATCATGAGCAATAGTCGCGCCGCGTTTATACGCGTTGAGGGATTGAGAAAGTAACGTTGCAGGATCACGCTTCAAAGACGTGTTTTCATCTTTTGTAGTTGCCCCCGTGTCGTCTTCGACGTCTGCATCTTTGGTCAGTGTCTCACTACCTGCGTCACCTGCATCTTTCTTGTTTTTCAGTTCATCTATCGCCTCACAATACAGACTATAGAGCGAACTGCCAAGATTGCTCCATGTTCTCGCGTCTTCGCCGCCAATCACATCCCCAGCAGATGCTATCGCTCGTCCAAAAGCCTCGGCCGCTTCTGAAAACTCGCCTAAGCGAAGACTAATGTCGCCAAGTCGGCTCCACATCTCAGGGCTAAGCCGATTGACAGCAACAGCTTTCTTGTATGCTTCTCGCGCCTTCTGCCAGTTTCTTTGCTGGAGATAATGCTCGCCGAGAGACTTCTGTGCACGGGCAAAGCGGAACCCGGAGAGCACCCATGCACGCTCGTAATGATCTGCGTTCGCTTCGATGTCCCCCAGGATACAGAAAAGGCGAGGTGCGTTTGGTGGAGCTGGAGAGCGTTCTCCACCGGTATAGTCGTCCGCTTTGAGCTGTGATATGTCTACAGCCTGAGACTCGAGATCGCTGTCGTTATCATTTTGAGATGAGGCGTCATCACTGGTGGAAGAGATCCGTTGAAACAAACGCCACCGCAAAACAGCCCTGGCTTTTGCCTCACCGCCGCTACCACGACCGCCTTCATCGTCTGTAGCAGCACTACTAGCAAGGCACAGTGCTACCTCAGCCCACATACGAAGCCTCTTGAAAATTTCGAGAGCTGATACGAGAGAACCGACCCCGGCCCAGGCATACGCGAGCTCTGACTCGAGGTGCCACCGAGGGGGGGAAGAAAGTACATGAAGATATCGTAGACGAGTCTGAGGAGGTGCGGAATCAGAGGACGTGGTAGCGCGAAGAAATGAAGTGGGTTTGGCGTTGGGGGCAAGAGCAGCGCCTCCAGGACCGCTGACCTCGATTTTCGGTACCGCAGTGGCAGACTGAGGCGCTTCATCAGTGTCTTCCAACTGACTATCCCTTCCATCATTCGCGGCGTCGACTAAGACTTGATCGACGACGGCCTGCATCTGCAGCACACCTCTCTCGACAGTCCTGCTTCGGTGAACTTCGATCCGTGAACGCACTAATAGAGCCTGGGTATATATCTGCCAGTTGGTCGACTTGTCAGATAGGACGCGTGCGGCGTAGGGCAGGATTTCCTCTGAAGTAAGTGTGTCCACAGGTGAGAATGCATCCTTTAAGGTAGCCTCTGTGAGGAGAATGATCTGGTCCAGCGGTGACAACTGTGGCTGGTCATCAGGAGGCAGATCCTTCAGCGCCGCAGGGAGGTTGACGCCCGTTCCTGCTGTCTCTCCATTCTTGCCTTCCGCGTCCTGATAGTCGATCTTCTCTAGGAGCGTATCGTCGTTTAGTGGCAGCGCATCTGGCGTAATTTCTAAATCTTTGTGCACATTTCCCTGAGTAACAGCATCTCCAGTGGCACTTTTTGCCAGCACAATCAGCTGACTTGTGCTTTTTTCCTGGTACCGTGTTCTTTTCCCCAGCGCTCCTGAAAGGGCATACTGGAACGTATTAGCTTCAGCAGCTTGGCTCAGAGCCTCCTTAGCCTTAGTGTCGAAGCCAAGCATTATGCAGATGTTGGCCTTTTCGACCAGAAATTCCACCTTGTCTTGCTTCGTTCCCTCTGCCCCTGAGGCACTCTTGAAAAGCTTGGTCTCGACCTCGTCCAGAGACTTTTCAACCATCTCTTGGAGGGTCGGGACATCACTCCATTGTGCACTTCTATTGAACAGAGAGCCAGGGCCGAGGGTAGGCTGCGTCAGCAACTTGTAGTGCCAAACATGAACTCGGAGTCTCATCCAGTGAAGGCCCACACGTAAAGTCTCACCATCCTTTTCGAGTTGGATTTGCCAGCTTTCCTCAGATATAGAAGAAGCGGCCCATTTCGCGAGGCAGAATAGTTCAATGTTGGGAATATACGGGTACACGGACACCCCGTCTACATCAAGTGACGCGAAACAGCGCTTGCGCAGCTGCATCAATGCGCTCTTGGGAGCAGACTCCTCAAACCGTGACGTTGCAGCAGCAGAGAAGATGTCTTCAACCGACTGCACATCGCTGAGCACAGGACCAGTGACGTTGGTTTGCAGAAAGGCGTTGAAGGCAGCCAATGCCACTGCCGCCGTATGGGAGTGAAGACTGGCGTCATCTGGCCGCAAAGGACCATTTCCATCTCCTACTCCAGCGCTAACGCCGCCATCATGCGCCATAGCAGCAACAAAGGCGCGGATGTGATATTTGGCCTCGTCGCTGGTCAAGACGTCGACGTAGCGGCCGGCCTCGAGAAGCGCATCCGGCATCTTGGGAACGGGGGCCATCTTGGCGCAAGATCGCTGCCTAGTTGACTGGGAAGCTCGCAATGACGCCCTTTACACTGCCGACTCTCATTCACTCTAGTCCAACTTGCTTCTCTTAAGCATGGTACCGTAGGTGAGTAGCTGAGGAGTGTGATGGAAAGAAGAAGTGCTGTCCAGCAGGGACCAGGGCTGATTTTGCAGTCAGAAGATCAGGCCCGAGCAGATTCTGCCGTTGAAAGCAGTTTATAGAAATCGTAGTTGTATCAGGAAATAGGTATGTATGTAGTATGTATGTATAGGTCGATTTTGTGATGTGAAATGTGATTTTGTGACTCGTGAATCTCTGCGTGGTGATGGGCGATTTGAATGCCGGGCTTCGTTCATTCACTCGATCGATGGTGGGGGCGGGGCAGAAAATTTCCTAAGTTGAGAGACCTGGGTTAGCTTAGGTAAGGGAGCGAGGGGCCAACTTCCCACC